AAGACAGATGATCTTCACCTCTTAACATGAAGTGTGTTTTCTTTGTCAGGGGTACAAAATGAATAGCACGTCTCACAATTTCTGGGTATCTTACATCAGGTAAAATATGGTACAAGGTACAGACCCTGCTCTCAAGAAGCTTACAGATGTTAGAATTATGGTGCTGGCACCCAGTCCTTTCCCAAGATTTAGTTTGGAAAGACAGAACCTGCTTCTTGCAAGAGATCAAAGTGCCTTTTAGAGTAAAGGACAGTGCCTCCAAACAGCAGCACAGCCAAGACACCTTGAAAGATGAGCAAAGCAGAGTGAGAACAAATTAGTGAAGGTTCAGGAACCTCGGAAAATATTTCTTCTAGGAAATACTCCCAAATGCTCACGGTGGGAGCTGATTTGTTTTCTTTCCTATTTGACTCATTTTGCTGTTGCAAAGTACTGCTTTACTTTATATGAGGAAACATATAAATGGGAAAGAAAAATCCTTCCAGAAAGCAAGGAAAATTTCTGGGGGCAAAGAAATCTTTTTCCATTGCAAGAAAACACCCGGCTAGAAAAGTTGCCACCTGAACTCTCAAGCTCAAAAAGCAGGAGAAGCTAGTAGGAGAGGAAATCTGAGCTGCCTTAGCAGAAGTATATCATCGTGCACTCTTCTAGCAGAAAAGCTTGCGGGTATTTACAGATACTGGAGAAGAAGCTAGAGGGTGGCCTGAGGCAGGGTCCTAACCTCACAGCAATTGTAAATGAGACCCTCACAGCCCTGAGATAAGCTAACCTGAGTCAAGGCAGCTCTGGGCACTGAGTTGTTAGCAGCAGAATTACCTATGTGGCAGCTTGCAAGTACTATACTGGCACCCTCTTGTCCTAGAGCAGGAAAAGCAGAAAGAAAATACTAAGGAGGGCATCCCGATCCAAGCACAGCAGGCAGGCTGGCCACCATGCTGAATTCGGAGACTTTGCACCACCCTAACTTTGGCTTTGCACATCTGGTGCTTGATCCAGGCGAATCTAGCTGCGTTCCTGAGCATCAGCACACAGGTGTTTCTACTGATGCTTTTCCCTGTTGGGGGGAAAAATACCTGCTCTGAACTGAAGGGTACAGTGCACGGGTGGACACCAGTGGCCACGCAGACCTGCCAGTGAGTTAAAAGGCCCTGTGCAGGGAGGGGTAATGGTTGGGCATGCCCAGCCCCACAGAGGCTGCAGGAGTCCACAGATGTGTTGGCAGAAGGGCAAGGGCACACACTGACCCAGAAGGCTGTGCCCCCAGTTCCGGGAGCTCACAGAGAGCCTTTCGACAACCTGACGTCTGCCCAATGGAGATGTGAGGGCCACTTAATGCAAAGCCTGACCCCTAAGTGGGCAGTAAAACATTCCTTTTCTTCTCTGTTGTGTGTCTGCTTGCATTGCTGAATTTGTTTCCTAACTGAATCCCATCAGTGTGGCTGACCGCCTCACTTACTTGAAAATGAACCAAGCAGGAAACAAGTTTCTCAACAAGGCAGCATTCTCCAGGGTGCTAAGAAGGGCAGAGCTAAGCTCAGCCCCCTCAGAGGAGAGTGGGGAGGAAAACCTATTTATGGCCTTATAATATTACAAACAAAAAAGCAAAACGTCTCTCCTGCATCCAGTTCAGAGAACCTGGCAGACACCACACCCATGCAGAGGAGATAAATGCTTCTGGGCAAAGCCCAGCGGCTCTTTGTCTTCTCTTAAATGAGGAAGACAGCAGGGCAGGGAGGAAAAGAACTCCAGCTGGGAAAGCCAGATTCCTAATTCATGAAATTAGTGGTCTTGATAAGATGCCGATAGGTTCCAAAAGGAACTCAAAAGTTCTGTGACCCCAAGAAGAAAATAATTTCAGGGCTAAAGGGGCCCAGTCCCAGACAGCTAATCACTTAGATTTGCCAAGAAGTGATTGGTTATTAAAATAAGATTTCCCCTCCCTCCCAACTGGCTTGCTGACCTAGTAAGTACCTGCTGCCATGGGGCAGGATGTCCATCCCCGGGTGGGTTACTGAGCACCCTCTAAATCTTGCTGTACACTGTGGGGTCAACCTTCCACATTCAATGTCTTGCCCAAGGCCTGTCTCGTCAGCACATACCTAGGGACTGTCTATAGTTTAGTTGCCAAAAAGTCCCTGGCTACCAGGATTTTGGTGGGAGGAGGGAGGAGACCTGTGGACAAGTTCAGGTTGGTAAGTTCTGAGCACAAAGGCACAGGTTCTCTTCTGAGACCAGCTTCAAATCAACTTTGACCTTGAGTTTCCACAGCCTCCTCTTGCACCAGGGAGTTGCATGAAGACAATACAACTCTCTATGAAATCACTGATTTGGTCGGAGCTAAAACGTTTAATTAAATCTTAATTCATTGGAGCTAAGTATTTTTTATCTAGCTCATTGCTTTGCACTCAAGAAATGTTGAGTGGATGAGAACATAAATCAATGCATGACTGGATACACTGAATTTGAGTTCCCTAATAGGAAGGCAGGCCTGCTAGTCACCTTCACACACTCAGTTCTTGGGCTTTCCATGATGTTTCTCTCAGGAACTGAGCCCACTCAAAATCACATGAGCATGAAACATCAGCTAATATATTCCCTTTCAGAGTTTCCTCTAAAAAGATTATCTGGGTTTGCTGAAATGTCAGGGGGGCTGACTTCTAAAAGTGGGTGTGCTGATTTACCGTATCTGAGAGGATCAGTGAAATCTAAAAGCAGCCCCTCAGTTATCCCTTAGAAGGATTCTTCGGAAGTACAGCCATATCTCGGCAGATTCTTCCTGCCCTGGCCATGCACCAAAAGGTTTCTCGTCAGAATGTCTGATTTGATTTATGTCCTTTTCCTCTATGTCCAAACGCATCTTCAGGAAGGAATCTCAGCCCCAGTAGTGGGAGAAAGGCTTGTTGCTACAGCAGCATGGGGCTGTGCAGCCAGACTTTATAACAGCACAGTGCCAGGCTCAGCCAGGCCGTCAGTACCCCCAAGGAAACAAGCATGAGCAACAGGAAGCCAGTGTTACCGACGTTAGGTGGAAGGGTGATCAGGGTTTGCTCACATCCCTGTCAGTGCCCTCTACATTTCTGAGTTCCTTTAAAATGGCAAGAAAAAAGGGTATGACTCAAACTCAAGCAGCAACATGCATAGTAGACCAAATCTTCCTAGAAGAGGTCCTGCCATCCTCCACCCAGAAGCAGGGGCAGGCAGACACGTGATGCAGAAACAAAGCACGCAAAACGTACCCATTCTAGAAGCTGCCTGGAGTGAAGGGGCTGATTTCCCAAACTTGTTTTCAGTCGTCATGACAAACACCCTGAGAATATATGTCATATGTACAATTCCCTTGAACTGTGTGTCCATGCACGTGCGTGTGTGGCTCACTCTGACATGGCACTTTGCCATGACAAGGCCTTTTCGCATACCTTATGGTGTTTTGTTAGTGAAAACATGGAGCAAGTGGCTCTAAATGGACATGAAGACTCACATTACCTACCGTTCTGCTTTTCCCAGTAAGAATTCTGCATGAAATCCAGCCTTGGGGACACAATGCAGGAATCATGAGAAACATGCTGGCTGAACCTATCCTCGGGCAAAGGCAGCCTGGCCTGAGCCTCCATATAAGACAGAGGCAGCCTCTAGAGAGTCAGCCTTCAAATGGATACGGCTGACATGTACTTTTCCCAGAGAAGAGCTCCAGTGTGTCTGGAGCTGGGGCCTTCTGCAGGGCAGGCTACAAGGGACCATCCCTGAAAGGTTCCCTGAGCTGTGCTCCCCAGGCCACATCCTGCCCTTCTCCGGGGGCTGTAAGTGCTGACTCAGGGTTCCCTTTAACCAGGAGTGAACTGGGGAGCCTCCTGGGAAAGCCCCCCAGGCGGGTAGCCGAGGGCAGGCAGACACGTGATGCAGAAACAAAGCACGCAAAACGTACCCATTCTAGAAGCTGCCTGGAGTGAAGGGGCTGATTTCCCAAACTTGTTTTCAGTCGTCATGACAAACACCCTGAGAATATATGTCATATGTACAATTCCCTTGAACTGTGTGTCCATGCACGTGCGTGTGTGGCTCACTCTGACATGGCACTTTGCCATGACAAGGCCTTTTCGCATACCTTATGGTGTTTTGTTAGTGAAAACATGGAGCAAGTGGCTCTAAATGGACATGAAGACTCACATTACCTACCGTTCTGCTTTTCCCAGTAAGAATTCTGCATGAAATCCAGCCTTGGGGACACAATGCAGGAATCATGAGAAACATGCTGGCTGAACCTATCCTCGGGCAAAGGCAGCCTGGCCTGAGCCTCCATATAAGACAGAGGCAGCCTCTAGAGAGTCAGCCTTCAAATGGATACGGTTGACATGTACTTTTCCCAGAGAAGAGCTCCAGTGTGTCTGGAGCTGGGGCCTTCTGCAGGGCAGGCTACAAGGGACCATCCCTGAAAGGTTCCCTGAGCTGTGCTCCCCAGGCCACATCCTGCCCTTCTCCGGGGGCTGTAAGTGCTGACTCAGGGTTCCCTTTAACCAGGAGTGAACTGGGGAGCCTCCTGGGAAAGCCCCCCAGGCGGGTAGCCGCTGCAGATCCTTGGCAGAGAGGTGCTGACACCTAGGGGTGGGCGGGGGAAGAGGCGGTGCGGAGGGAGGGTAGCCCACGCTGGAGGTAGCTGTACCTCCTGGTGGCGTCCAAGAGGGGTGTTTTCCCCTAGCTCCTCTGCTTCTGTCCCCAAGTCAGCCTCTCTCCACTCCTAGAGAGGTTTCCCCAAAACCTGTTCCATGAGCATAAGCACGGAAAGACAGAAGTAATGTTTGATATTAATAAAAACTAGACAGCATTCCCCCATCCCCAATCTAGTCTTCCCGCAGCTGAGAGAAGCAGCCATTTGAGGAGGATGGAGTTAGAGAATATAAGGATCCAAAATGATGCGTCAGCAGGCTGTCTAGTCCCCAGGAACCATGGCCAGGAGTTGCCAGGGGAAGCCAATCCTCCCGAGGTAGCCCGGGGTGCTTTCTTACCAAACTCGCTCGCACAGAGATGTTCAATTATGGCTTCAGATTTCAACTCGTTGTCACATGGAGGACACACAGCTGTGCCTAGGAAGGGAAATGGGGAGAAACAGGAGCTGTGAGTTACCGGGAGGCAGTGTGAGGGGGAGCTTCCCCTGAGGAAGAGATCAGGCCAGGGTCTGGCTGAAAGTGGTCAGAGGTCTTCTGCAAGTTCTGAAAAGAAGAGTCCTGGAGCCCAGGACCTAAGGCCATAAACAGAAATAGCATTTCTTGAAAATTTGGGGCTTGAGCTGTGGAATAACACACAACTATTTAAACCAACATCACCTGGGGCTGGTAGGGACAGATTCTACGAACTGGATTTGATTGGGTGTGATGGGTCCCTGGAAACACATCTAATCCAGTTGTTTCCTGTTCTTTCTTCCCCTCTCCCTTTAAATACCCACCTCTGATTCTTTGCCCCTTCCCCTTCCCCAGTTCCCACCAAGACAGCTCATCAATCTGACCGGCTCTCTAGGAGCCAAAAAGACACTCAGCCAGACTCACAAACGCCAGCCACAGCCTGAATATCTCTCTGCAAAAGGGCTACTGCAGCACAAGTTCCCGCCGGCCGGACGCAGGCACAGCTGGGTGGGGGCCGGGGCAGCACTAGCCAGAGCTGCCAAATGGGAGGCCAGAGCTGGAGGGGGGAGACCCCCTGAAGGTGTTTTCATGACGCTGTGAAGTGCTTTGAAGAGGTGTGGCTGGCTGGCAGAGGGCCACTGGGAGGTGGCTAAGCACCAGGGGAGGTGACTTCTGACGCCAGGGCACAGGCCTTCTCCAAGCCCAAATGCTACTGACCCTAGTGGGATATCTGGGAAGTAAAGTGTCTCTCTGGGAGAGCAGGGAGAAAGTGGTACAGGAGAATCTCCAGAGGATGGGGTGGCTTATCATCACCACCACCACCACCATTACCACTGTCATCACCATCACCACCATCACCACCATCATCACTACCCCCATTACTATCATCACCACCATCATTACCACCACCACCATCACCACCGTCGTCACCATCACCACCATCATCACCACCATTACTACTATCATCACCACCATCATTACCATCACCACCATCACCACTGTCATAACCACCATCACCACCATTACTACTGTCATCACCACCATCACCATCACAACCATCACGACCACCATCGTCACCCCAACCATCACCATCAACACCATCATCACCGTCCTCACCATCACCACCACCATTGCCACCATCACCACCACCATCACCGCCATCACGACCACCATCATCATCACCATCACTATCATCATCACCACCATCACCATCTCTGCCATCACCACCATCATCACCGTCACCACTATAACCATAACCATCATCACCACCATCACAACCATCACCACCACCATCACCATCACCACCACCACCACCATCACCACTATCAATACCCTCATTATCTAACAGACAACTTGGGTTTTATCCATGACCCAGGAAAGCACTTGCATAATATAAGGGCACTCCAACTCTGGCACAGCACTGGAGGCCTGGTCAAGCTGGAGTTGAGCACAGGACAGTCACCTGTGACCTGAGTTACTGAGCAACCTTCACTCAGATGTAAGTCTCTTTGTCCTCCTCCTCTGCTTCCTTCTCCAGTAGCTTCTCTAGCAGCATCTCCTTCCTCAGTGAGCTTCCCTTTGAAATGGGCAAAGCCTCCCCCAGTGGATGATAAGGAGGGAGTTACACAGTCCTGCCAGGCCACAGGACACAGTTGATCAACAATTGGCCAGCAAGCTGGCAGTAGTGGGAGGCAATGTACAGTCACCACTACTTCCAAGCAGGGTTCCACACGGTCCCGCAGAGACGGCACACCGAAGTCTTTATTGGCAGATTCCTCTCCCACCTTGGCTCTGTACCCATGGTCAAACACTGTCCAGATTCTCAGTGCAACAAGAACCAGTCACACACCAAGCAGAAGACTAGGTGACTGTCTTCTGGCCCAGATATTGGAAATTTGCTCTTCAGCCAGAACTTAAGACTAAGTTCTGGAAGCAGTGTTTCTGACAAAGAGAAAAACTGACCCAGAATTTTGCATTACAGTTTCTGCTTCCATGGGGAGGAAAGCAGGCAAAGGAAGTCTTGCAATATGGGAAGGGCCGTGTTACCTTTACTGGGAGAGCGAACTGTGCTTGGTGCTTTTCCTTATTTATTTTTCTTTACATGGAAGTTATCACATTGCAAGTTTCTATTAACATAATCTTGACCAAAGAGGTAGGAGGCCAGGGTTATCAGAATATAAACGCTAGGGCTCTGTCTGTCCATAAACATCATCTCTGGACAGGGTTCTCTTACCCCACTGGCAGCCAAGGGCTCTGGTCCCCAAAAGGGGCATTTTCCTCAGCCCTATCAATTACTTTGGCCTTCAGGACAGCAAGAGCTTATTGGGGTGAGCTCTGTGTATTCTCAACATGGCTTTCCCCACCTCGACTTTTCTTACAGCTGACTGGAGCAGCGTCACCAGAGAAGAGAAGAATGTGTAATGCAATATTAATCTGTGCCCCTCCAGTGGGTCCCTGGGGCCCCACCAGCTGCCTCTGCAGAAGAAATCAACCCAGTCACCATCTGAGAGGTATAACTAAATCAGTGTTTTAAGGTATATTGAATATAATATTTAAAGCAAAGGAACCAAAAAGCTGAAAGATTTTGTGTTTCATTAAAACTTGAGGGAGAATAAGGAGAAAGTTCAACACTGGAATCAGGATTAAGTAAATTTTTAAAAAATCAATGCACATATGCATATAGCACTCTTCTATCTCACACACATGCACACACAAGCACACACACACACACACACACACACACACACACACACACACATACACAGAACAGGTCCTCCCTGGCCAGCTCCTGGATTCTCAAAGAAGGAACCCTAAGGAAGGCTCTCAGGGAAAACAAGGGCACCATGGTCTCTGGTGTCTGTGACTCAAACAGCAGGGCCAATTTAATGCACAACAGACCTAAACAACACAACATTCCAAGTATGTGCTCATTCATACAACTTTAACCCATAGAACCTAGCAAGGTGGAGGAATGGTTCATTGGCTGGGAGTAGGTAAGTCTAATGTAACTGCAAGATCTAGAAATAATTTTCCTTGAAAAAGACTGACTGTCTTGCCCATCACAGAGGCTAATACAGCTTGAGCATCGGCGTTTGAGGGAGGAAAGTGTCTTTTGACTCAGTTCTTGTTATCAAGTTTGCCTTTAACAATACGTGGCCACAAAAAAACCTGCCCAAATTATATGAAATCATCACAAGCCCCATTGTGTGAACAGAAAGCAGTCCACAGCATGCACAGATATGACATCGCTTTGAAAACTCAGCTTTAAGAATAAAAAGAACAGAGAATAAAAGTAGAGCGTGTGGGCTTATTTTCATCCAAAAGTAGCAGCTCTTGCTCTAGAGCCACCAACCGTTAAGGTTATGAGAACCAGTGGTCTGGGTTGTCTCAACCTGCCCTCAGACAGATGTGTGAGGGCACATGGGCGCATGCGTGCGTACACACACACACACACACCACACACACACACACAGCCCTCCACCTCCATGCCCTGCACGCTCAGCTGACAGGGCCCCGGGGCTCCAGAGGTGTCATGTGGTGCTCCTTCCCACCGCGGGGCTGCAGTCCTGGGAGAAACCTCAGCACGCTGAGGAGAGAGGCAGTGCCCAAGCCCCACACGTGACTGGTTTTCTCAGCTTTTCTCTGGTCTTGGGAAGGTGACTCCCTGGGCCCTCCTGGGATGGCGGGAAGGAGAAGGGAGGGTGGTGCACCAGACGGAGAAGGGAGTAGACAGTGAAACAGCAGCCAGGGAGTCAAAGGCTTTGAGAAGACAGCAATTATTCAGTGTTCCCAACTCCACCCCAGCCCTTTGGGGAATTGAGTCGGGAGATTTCTTTCCCCTTCCTAAATAGGCACCCCAGCATTCCTCCCATCTTCCCCCTCGGAAGATGTCCCCCAAAAGTCTTCACTTTGCGTCCACCAGCTGTCCCAGAATGAGACGGTTGGAAGGGCGGCTGAGCTGGCCAGGGCCTCCGGGGCTGGGCTGGGCTAATCTCCCTGCGGAGGAGGAGAAGGAAAATCCTGTGGCCTGCAGGGGATGGCTCACACCCGCAGAACACGAAGTGTTCTGTTTGCTCTAGGTAATTACCCAGTTCTCGCTCCGAAAGGGCCGCACTTCCCCGAAGGTTAAGCCTGTGCAGACACCCGGGAAACGGAGAGCAGAGGTGTCCAGACCTGGCCACTGCGGCCTTCCCCCCCGGCCCAGCCCACGCCACCTAACGTGGTCACTCTGGACCCTTCACCTCCTTCCTTGACTGCTTCCAAGAGCATTCAAACTTCGGGGAACCCCTTTCCCCCTTGCGGGCCCCTCCACGACTCGGGGCGAGCACGCGCCTCAGTGGACATTTCTCTTTCCGGCATCACGTGAGGATTAGCCAAGTCAGCAAGCAGCCTGCGCCCCTTCCTCAGAAGGCCGTCCACCTGAGCCCCTGTGCTGGGCGCACCTGGCTGGGGCTTCCCATCCCCGGCTCTCCCCACATCTTTGGGCTTCAGCTCTGCTTCGGAAGAATTCAGGGATGAATTCGCGTTCCATAAACGTCAGGCCACTGCGCTGGGTTTTTGCTTTTTTTGTTGTTTTTAGCCTCTCGGATTTTTTTTTCCCCTCCCACTCAGAACTTCTAAGTGAGAGGGTGTCGGAGAGGAGCCTCGGGCCCCCTCCAGGGCTGTTAGGATAGACTCCAAATGCCGAGCCCCATTCCCCCAAAGAGAGATGAACAATGAGCTCATTACATTTTTATCTTTCTAAATACCTGAGGATTTGTGTAAATGAGAGAAGCAGAGGTGTGCCCGCAGGCAAGGGAAGAGGCTTTCCATCCCCCAACCCTCCCGAAGCAGTTACCTGGAAGGGATGGAGAACCGGAAATACCCTCAGCTCCTAAACCTTCTGCAGCAGTCCTGTTGCTGCTCGGGGCAAAACTAGCTAAAGAAAGTTTTTAAAAAAATAACAAATCCTCATCGAACATATGAAAATAAAGCTGTGCGTCAGCGTTTTCTCAACCTATCTGAGCTTTCTACACTTTAGGTTTGGGGTGATTTCTTTTCTCCTCCTGGGGCATCCCGTTTAGGATGTTTAAAACTTCGACAGGGACTCGGTTCCCTCCCAGTGAGAAGAGCTCTCCTTTTATTGGGAGCGTAAGACGTCGTTCCAAGTATGGAAAAGCGAGAGTGCGTCCCAGGCAGAGCCGCTCCAGGACCCGCGCCGAGTGTGTGCGCGGCCGCCGCCGCGGGACCAGCCCGCTGCGCGCCTGGGTCGCGAGAGGCGCTAAGCGACACCTCGGACGGACCAGAGGCTTTCAAAAACTCACTCTGCAGTTGGAGAGCAAACTCTAGGAAGCACGTCCGAACTGCGGGGGACAGAGAGCAGGGGCGCAGGTCGGGGTGGCAGGGGTGTCTGCCGCGCCCGCTGCAGCCCCGGGGCCCCACCGCCCCGGGCGGGGGTCGCGCGGGCGAGGGAGGGGCGGCCTTACCCTGGGGCTTGGAGGCTTCGGTGGCATTGGGCGGGGTCATGGCGATGCAGACGTCGCCCTCGGGGAACTTGTCGCACTTGAGCATCTCCGGCCAGTAGAATCCGAAGAACTGCATGACCGGCTCACACGAGTCGCGCACGGCCTCGCAGAGCCAGCGGCACGGGTAGATGGGCCGGTCGAGGCACACGGGCGCGAAGAGCGAGCAGAGGAAGACCTGGGTGCCGATGTGGCAGTTCTTGTTGAGCAGGGGCACCCAGCTGCTGGCCTGCTGCTTCACCTCGGCCATGGTCTCGTGCTCCAGCAGGTTGGGCAGTACCATCTTCTTGTAACCCACGTTGTGGCACAGCCGCAGGTCCACCGGGATGTCCACGCACTGCGGCGGCTTGGTGTAGAAGCGCCCGCTCTGGTACGAGCCGATGTCCGACTGGAAGCTCACGTAGTCGTACTCGCTGGCCGAGCCGGGGGCCAGGAGCGCGGCGGCCAGAGCCAGCAGCACGCCTGGGGCGGCCCCGCCGCGGCCCCCCGCGCCGCGCCCGCTGCCCATGCTGGCTCGGCGCACTCGCTCCCGCGACGTCGGGGCTGCCCCGACCGCCTCCCCGCGTGCGTCCCGCCGCAAACTTTCCGGAGTCTCGGGGGGACAAAGGGCGCCGTCCCCACCGCGGCCCGGCTCGGCGGCCGCGCGCTCCGGCCCGGAGCTCGGCGGGTGGCGGCCCTCGGCCTGCGGGCGCGCGGCGGCGGGAGCTGGCGCGGGGCGGGGGCGCGCGGAGGGCGGCGGGCGGCGGGCGGCGGACGACGCGCGGCACCGACTCCCGAGGCTGCAGGACGCGAGTGCCCCGCGCTCCGGTTGCAAAGCCCTCGGAGCCTCCGCGCGCAGCCAATCAGCTCCCCGCGGCCCGGGCCGCGCTCCTCCGGCACGTCCGTCACCGGCTCGATCAACCAATCGCTTCACTCTGGAGAGGGTTCGGTTTACTAGACCCAAGCACAGGTCAACACCCCTCAAGAAACAAAACCAAGAAAATAAATACAAGAAAGAAGAAGAGGGGAAAGAAGACGACAAAGGCAGGGAAAGAGAAGAAAGGGAATAGTTAGAGGCGTGGGCTGGGTGAAGAGGATGTTTAGCGCTGGATTTGACATTAGTTGGCTGCCGAAAAGCAAGGAACCTCAACAGGACTTGCAAAGGCATGAGAATTTTCTTTTTACGCTTTTTTCTAATTTCATTTACACTTTTTCCTAATTTCAAGCAGCCGACCAGCAGACAAGCAGCTCACCTCCTCTGTTTTGTTCTCCGGCGCTGCAGTACAAAGAGGATATGTTTTCCCAACCAACCGGGACTCGGGGAAGGCAAAGCCCACGGAGGGGTGCTCCAAGACCCCAGCCCGCCCGCCCCGCCCCCGCCAAGACAAGGGGAGACTGTGGCTGGGCTGTTTGCCGGTTTAAAACTGCAGCACCTTTCCAGCTGGGGCAACTGGATGATGGCCCTCAAACACTCCTAAGGCAGTAGGTAAATGTGTGGCGGGAAATACTACTCACAAAGGTATCAGCTTTGGAGGAGAGCAAAAAAAAAAAGAGAAAGGAAAAAACCCTACTCAAGCCCCAGCCCAACAGCATGTCTGTGTGAGCACGCATACACACACTGACATGTTTGTGGTGTAGAAAGCCAAAACATTAAAAACACATGTGCACTTATCAGCGTGGCTTGTGTAAATATCAAGTCCATCACTCAGGCACACATGCTACATTCAGGGCTGGCCCAGGAACCTCAGTCAAAACCGAGGGTCCCCGTTAAGGCAGCAGGCATGACGAGATTATTAGCAGAAGCACACAGCCAGGCCTTCACGCACTCTCCTACTGTCAGGAACAGAAGTTTCTCTGCACTAGCCATCTCAGAGTTTCTGGGACTTCTATGTATATTTCAAACATTCCATGGAATGGGAGGTTCAATCTCCAGAAAGCTGGGTGTGTGACCAGGACTAACCCTACGGACAGGAGACAGCAGCTGTGATGTTGTCTGGGTCTCTGGCTGCTTGTATCCTGACGTGTGGCTAGAGTGAGCCAAAGATACTGAAAACGGTACCTGAACAGTGTGGTGCCACCCCACATTGCAAATGGGCCACAGATCTTAGAGCTCAAGGCAGACACCATAGGAGGTGCTGCCTTGCTGGCCAGCTTGTTTATAAAGCTCTGGGGACTTGCTCTGGACTCTGCAGACCTAATTTCTAGATGGACAGATTCCAAGTAAAACTACTAGAGTTTGTGAGGAAGTGAGGCTCTTTTCTTAAAGCACTCGTGCCCACACAGAGATTGTGAGCCCACTGTGCTCGTGGGAAGCATCTGCGGAAGGAAGATGGTCAACCTCTCGGCCATGGCTGGGCTCAGGAGAGGGACACTAAAGCAAGAGGGGCAGAATGGAGGGAAAGAGATGGAGAGAGAGAGAGAGCAAGAAAGACTTTGGGTGGCAAAGGGTTAACCCCTAAACAATTGGTAATGCTCAGCGGAGAAGCTGGGGAAGACATTCCTCCCTGAGAATAGACCGCAGGAGACCGCACAACTCTGTCTCAATTCAAGGGGCATTTAGAGAAAAATGCTGTTTGGTAGGGGGTCCTTTTCTCTCCTACAGCCAGGCCCTCAGTCCCAAGCCAAATGTGACTGTTTACTCACTCATTGAAAGGAATTGTGTTTGTAAATAACATCCTCTCACCTTTGAATCCAAGCTTAAAGGACCTCCACTCATGTTTGTGGTTTCCCTGAATGGCAAGAGGACTTGGGTCTGCCCACAAGGAAAATTCTGGAAATTAGTCCAGGTGACTACACCTCCACCCATCCTGGAGGTCTCAAGTCAGGAGTAATTTCAAATACTCCTGATTTGGGAATCATTCATGGAAGGACCGAGCCTGTATCTGGTTGTTCTCATGAACCCTCAGTCCCCAACTCCCCACCCCATCTTTCTGCTTTAGAGAGAGGCCTCCTGGCCCATGCCAGGAACACAATTGTCTTGAGAACAGATAAGGCATGTGGGCATAAGTAAGACCCCGGAATCCTAAACCCTGTGCATTTGGGGATCCTCCACCGAGGTCCAGCCAGAAAGGGAGGACTCCAGGTCTCAGTCCCTCTGATAAACTTTAACCCACAACTGGGATTTTGAAGACCCACTGCCTGCTGCCAGTCACATATTGTATAACAGTGCCAGGGGGAACAGCCCCAAGACTGCATTTTAGAGCTGACACAGTTTTTTTCCTTTTTTGTACTGTCAAACCTTGCCTTTCAAAGTCCAATCTCCCTTCCCTAATGGCAAGAATGTGTGTGTTCAGAGGAAAAAGTTCTAGAAGAAAGGTTGTTATATGCTATTGGTATGACAGAGCTCCCAGAATCCAGGGTTCTTGAATATTGGCTCTGTGAGCCAGGAGCATCTTCCCTCCTAGATGGGTTTAACCAAACGGGCAAAATACAACTTTCAACATGTGCTTTTCATTTCCAAAAAGTTCTGACTTTTCCACACTGGCAGATACCTTTGCATGAAAGTTGGCAGTGCATTCCCTGTCGCTTCACAACCCCAGCTGAAGCAGCCATTCTCCAGTCTCCCCGTTACCCTGAGCTGACTGTCCTGGCCAAGCAGGGTCCCCGAGGGGCCTCCCAGGTGCCTACATGGTGCTCTTCCGTCACACAGAACTCCTTCCTGCCCTTCCCTAGAAAAACTGGGGCAAAGCATACAGGGGAGCCCTTCCAGACTGTTCCTCCTGCCCATTCCATTATCATACCATCAGTGATTTTCTGACACTCCAAAGAAACAGGCAGCACCCTCCTCCCATCAGCCAGGAGCAGTGCAACAGGGCAGCCGGGCTCCTGCCTGCAGCGGGGTGGCGGTGGGTCCCGTGTGATTCTGGGAAAGGCATTCTGGCCCAGAGACAGGAAGGGCAAAGAAGACCTCAGCTCCACCAGGAGGCACCTGGGAGGCCGCTTGGGGACCCAGCTTGGCCCCGACAGTCACAGGCTGGGTGACTGCCACTTTAACCCTCTGCCCTTAGAGTTCTGTAAACAGAACTATGACTGTCTACCCTGCTGCATCAGGAAATAAAATACAGTGCTTGTGTTTTAACATTTTAGTACAAATATGTCCCAAATATTGCATGGGACATACTTACACTACAAATTATTTCTTGTTTAACTGAAATTAAAATTGAACTAAGTGTCCTGTATTTTATCTGGCAAGCCCACCTGCTCAGCCTTCGAGCATTGCCTCCTCCCGGCAGCCTTGTCTGACCCTCTCCGGTCCCATCCTTTCCCTTCTCCACCCCCACCCTGATTGACAGCTCTCTTCTCCCAGAGCACCCCTGCACACCTCGTTATGGCATTCCTGTCCAGCTTTTAGAACCACATGCTTTGGGGTATCTGCTACGTGACTGTGAGCTCTTAGAGGCCAGGATCTTACTTTCTTGCACTCATACAGCAAATGCCCAGCAAGGCCCTTCACTGCATTGCGGGCTTCTATCTGTAGAAGAGAGAGGCAGATATGTGAATACCCTGACTATGAGAGGTACTGTGTCTGAGCATTGACTGCAGTTTCCTGAGAACCCAGTAAGCATGAAGCACTCACATGGCTCTCTGTGTCTGCAGGAAAGGAAAATCCTACCTACCTTTGAATCCTAAGGCAGCTGACCATCAGCACCTTATACAAAGATTGTACATAGAGGGTGGGTCTTTTTTATGACCCTCCTTCTGTCTCAGGGCCAACCTTGTGGACGGATGCCACAGCCAGCCGCCGAAGCACCTCACTCATGCCCCAGGGCTACTGGGTGGGTGGTGGGCAGGTTGGTGAATGTAGTGGCCACTTCCCAGAAGCAGACGAACTCCCTGTAAATTCTGCATGGACCCTGACCCCCAGGCCCTAACAATCCTGCTAAAAACAGAGGCTGGTACCTAGAAGGCAGGGGTTTTCTGAAGTTTCTGACAGTCCCTGGGAGTGGACAGAGGCAAGAGAATCTGGAAGGCGTGTGACACCTGGTGCCCGGTCCCAGCTTCAGACCTGGAGGCTTGGCTGGGACACCAGAGCAGTAAAACCAGGCCTCTGGGGCCGCCTTCCCCTCCGGTGTGGGGGAAGTGAAAGTGAAGTGGCGCATGCTTGGGTGACAGGAGGCCCATAAATCTGCAGACATTGCTCAGGGAAGGCAGTGGCCCAGTGGCGGGACGCATTCCCCAAGGAGCCATGTGCTTATTTCCCTAACCCTTCGTGGCAGGCGCGCCAGACGAGCCAGAACAACTGCATACACACGAGGGGCCGGAGGAGGAGTCGGGGAGCACCCATCACCACCTCCACCCCTCAGGAGAGCCCTTCCCGCCCCTCCAAGCTGGCTGTGTGCGCGGCCAGGTCTCGGGCTGTGGGCTGGAAAGCCTCCCCACCCAGCGGCACTACTCCCCCCATCTAAGGCACCGTACCGTTCCCACTGCCTTCTGTAGTCTTCCCCACTGTGCACTCTCCAGGCACTATCAAATTTGGGCCTCACAGAAAACCTTCTGAGCTCGCAGAAGTTCGTTATTCCCATTTTACAGAAGAAGACCCAGAGGTTCAGAGTGGTGGAACTTTTACCAGCAGTCCAGCTACTACAGAACTCTGGTGTGGGACAGACTCAGGTCAGTAACTTAGATTTTGGGGTCCTAATCCCAATAATCCTGCACTAGTCTAATTGCTATTTTAAGTGCTGATCCCCAGAAAGAGAAACCCCGATAGCCTTTG